TCTTGTGTGCCAACCCACAAATGTTGTGGTTCAACATAGAACCAAATCAAAACAGGCTGTACCACAACATTTGTGGGTTAGCACACAAGAGACTATGGAATGGCAAATCATAGACTTGGTATTAGGGATAGAAACAGGATAGACGGCGAGGACCGGAGCTAGTTGGCTGACAGTAGGATGGTGTACCAGAGACGTGGTACATGTAGCAAAGGGGTGAACATGACACTCACAAGGCTTGCGCCTCAAATTAGTAACACAGACGCAGGGGATGGTAAAAAACACGTCGAGTAGAACAGATGTGGTGGCAGAAGTCGAGTGAAATAGGTGAACAACGGGCAGAGCAGACGGATATTACAGAACAAGAGAGAGACTGGGATAAGACTAGGAAAGTGGACTGCATAATAATAAAGAAGACTCTGATCAACATTCCCTGCACAAGGATGAAAAGGAGAACGACAGTTGGATTGTGAAAGTTTCATGTCGCTCAAAGGAGCACACCACACTATAACTAAATAAGCACGATAACAAATTCTAATAGTGAAGGCAAGAGAGAGACTGTGATAAGGACTGCGTAACAATATGGCAGACTCTGATCAACATTCCCAGCACAACGGTGAAGGGGGTTAAGAACGACAGCGTGGATGTTAAGGGTTTCATGAATGCCGCTCAAAGGAGCACACCACACTACATTAAAATAAGCACGGTAAAAGTTGTTACAGAGAAGGCGTGAAACGAGGATATAGGAAATGTGAATAGCCCGGGGCAGAAGAGGAGATACCACAACTGTTTAGCACACGTTTGGTGAAAGGATCGGCTTCACTAGTCTCTTTGACGAGCTGTACTATGATGCTAAGAATGGCGAGACTCACTGACGATGCAGACGATTCCGGCGAAACGTTTGGTAATGTACCACGTCCACAGTTCCTCTAAGTCTTCCTACCAATATGACCAAATTGCGAAAACAAGGTCAAACAACCTTTATCAAATCCATAATCATTATTATGGGAGAAGCAAGTATGAAAACTTTTTATTAGAGAATGAAAGAAAATGCTTTGATAGTGTGAGTGGAAGAGATGAGACAAGGAGAAGCTCACCCAGTGAATATGAGCTCCTGATATGGTGAATAGGTAGTACCCCATTCTCCACCGTTGATAGGCCACTCACGTGTGGTGAACGCTACTCCTCCACTCCCTGTGCAACCAGCTGCACCACCACCCCAACTTGAGCTGCCAATGCGTCGAGATCGGCTGTTAAGAGAGTAAAGAGCTGATATGAGTTCACCGGGGCAGTCGATGAGATATTCGATAGAGGTGACTGGAGACAGATTGAGGTCCATCGGGTAGGGATTCTCAAAAGGAGCAAAGCTGATAACAAGATAAGCGGTGGGCAAAAAGGAAAACAATAAATAATTTCGCATTGAGTAAACAATTAACAGCAAAATAACATTTGAAATACGTACTTTAGTGACAATAGGTCCAATATAACCAGATCAGTCTCAAGCAGAACAGCGACGGCATATGGATCGGAGCAATCTAGATATTATAAAAAGAAAATGAATTAGCAATATGGTTTAGATGAGGTATTAATGCATTAGTAATAAGTGTCGAGGCTCTAAAATTGAGTTTGGAGTTAAGATTAATTTGAACATAAATAGTAAAAAAATTAAAGCAATATACCTCGTTTAGTAATAGACCTAATACAATATTTCCTGCAAGAAACTACTCATAATAGCGAGTACATCTGCAACACTATGTCCATCTGACGCAATATTATGGCTGCCTATAATAAATAAAACTTTAAAACAAAGTGTAGCGTTCACAATATGTTATGTAGAAAAACTCTGCCAATACAAGTCAGGATCCTACTTACTGATTTATACTAGGTTATATATGAAGATACAGCAATATAAAAAAAATTAAATAATAAACCTTAAAACTAGCAAATTCTGGAAGGGCGTATGAAATTAAATAGGCCATTTAAATTGCTTCCATAATGATAGCGTCCAGCTGATAACGTTGACTGGATATTTACAAGCTAAGGTATTCAGGCACTTCACAATATTGAGAAATAACTAGTCAAATGGATCAAGTTTACAGTTGAAATAATTTTTAAGGCAAACAAAATTTTTTAGTTACACGTAAACGGTTTATGCATGTTTCTATGCTACAAAAAAGAAAATTGGTTAAGAGAGCTTCGCAGACAGATCAACCAAATTTATTAGGTAACCTTATAAAAAAGCGCTCCCATCAGCCAAATTACGAGGGATGAATACGACAAAAAAATTCGACCTTAAACAGGCAAAACAATTATTAGGAAATTTCATACTCATTTATGTGTGTTATGTTCTAGAAGGAATAAGAAATTTTGCGCAACTGTTTCTAAAGAGTGCAAAAAATTATTGTTGTTGTTAGATAGATTTAAAAAGGGGAAACAATAAGCTAAGCTGAGCTAATTCTAGCCCCTTTAATCATCGTCCCAATTATGTAATCCAGAACAAGTCTAGATTATTGGTCTGGCTTCGTTTTGGCAACTTGGTCGTAGTGTAAGGAAGATCCAGTTTGCCGGACCTTGCCTGAAGCCCTTTGCTATAGTAGATACCATAATAACCAGTGTTCGACCTTGTGTTTGGTACATTCCCAGCCGCTTCCTCAGAATCGTCAGTGAGTATTGAGAGTCTCAACACGAAGCTGCCAGGTTGAAATCAATCGCTCGACCTACTTTTTACCGATCGGTTGTGCTACCACTACATATTTTGTCCCGGCACATCTATCTACTCATTACCCTTAAATCTCACCCACGCTTGATCACAACTTATACCTTGTTTCTATTGGACTTCTCTAAAGGCTTGTCCTTTTTTGACGAGGTTAATGTGGCGTGATCTCACCTGCTGTTTACCTTGCCCCCTTTCTCTCTTAATTAGATCATCCGACTCAGACCCTTGATCTGGATCTTACTCGTGAGCCCGTAGATTTGTTTCTTATCTTTCTGTTCAACTGATCTCATTCGGTTTCAGCCCAAATATACGCATCTCTCCAGGTGCTGTTTTTCAAGCCTTAAGGTAGCACATACACTGTCGTCCTATCGAAGAGTGTGCCTAGGCTCTGATTCGCATCCTGCAGTCATCGCCTCCACAGCTCACCTCTATCATTCAACCCATTTACCCTGAGCAAACTTTGAATGTCTATTTCTGGTGGCCTGATGCCTATAAATTGATTTCAAGCGAATTGGACAATAATGACGAATTTCTGTGACATTCGTGATTATGCGCCTCCAGAGGGCCTGTGTAGTGTTGGTGAATGCAACCAAACAGAAGGTCGTGCCACCTTGGTCTTCATACCTACGCTCAGAAGCTGAGAAACAAAACACAAATTGATTTGTCACCTTAGAGGTGGCTTAACACCCTTTAGTCCTTAAGAAGTAGTTTTAGTATTTCTTACCTAATTTTTTATTGGAATTAACAACTTTCAATTTATTATCTAATCTGCTTATTTAGATTTCCAACTTAATTTTGCGCTTTGCTGCAAAGAATAATCAGCAAAATGACCAGTTGCAGAGTAAATATACCCTACGTCCTTTTATTGTCGTGGGTGTGGCTAACTCTGAGCTAATAAAACAACAGTCTCTTAAAAATGGAGGCGAGAGCATAAACACATTATTTTAGAGCAGTTTAATCTAGATAATGAGTCATGTTAGTTTGTAAAATTTGACATAAATGAAGAAAGAGTTATAATTTCCTTATCCAACATTCTTTTCATTAAAATCAAAAGAAATTGCTCTATGAAAGCCAATCGACAGTCGGCGCAAAGGAGTCATCCGTTTTATTCTATTGGGATAGAGTTTCGAAGCAAATTAAACATTTGCGCTCGAAATAGAAATTAATTCAATTTCTCGTTCATGAGTATGGTTTCGAAACTACCAGTAATGTAGTCGAATATCATAGCAAAAATACGCTTGCTTTATCGACAATCCCACCAAAGAATGTGATATGGGAAAAGGCCTGGTGTTCTTTGAAGTTCGCATCCGCCCTGTGACCCAAGGGCAATATTGGTAATGTGGCCGATTGGTTAATGCGTCATCAAGCTCACATGCTGCACTGTCACGATTCGACTCCAGCTGGGGGTTTCGATAAGATCTATCCGAGATAGAAACTTCAGTCTACCTTGGATGAGCACAGCTTTTCGGAAAACAAGGCTGTGTGAAATTCAATGGAAACATCAGCTCTACCCATATAATTGTGGGAAAATTTAACTACTAGTCCATCATCACCTCAAACGAAATAGGGTGAATACATATCATATAACTGATTTACTGGCAGTCTCGAAACTCTGCTTGTAAACCAAAAAAAGTTACCCATCGTTCGTAAGTCCTTTCATTATAGAATGAACTTATCACGAACTCCCCTGATCATTCTAAGTTTAGCAAGGCTGAGCTAAATTATTTATGCAGTATACACTTGTAGGCATGTGTATAACCTTGAAGTCTACTCTACCAAATGAATAATCCTCACTTCGTATTTCACGATAATGCTGAAGAATTTTTATGTATATGGTATTGAGTAATGCATGAATGGAATGGCCAGGTCATGAGGCCATTCAAGCCTGTTGATATAACTGTGTAGTTTATCCTACTCTCTATCTCTCAATGTCTAATTCAAAATGTTGTCACCAGAAACTAAGTATTAAGTGCCTACTGTTGGTAATGCTATGCAGTTTGCCTAGCTGTGGATGTATGAACAAAAATATTTAACTAATACTGGCCAAATCAGGTCAGCTCGTCTATATATATATATACTAGGTCCTTTAAGTGAATCTAAGATTTTTGTGGACCCGAGTCTTTAGATTTGGTCATCAATCTAGGAAAATAGGCTTATTACCTTAACTTATATAAGAAGTTTGGTAGAAATATATAAAGGAATAAATACAGTTATTCATACAAGCGATAGCATATTAATCACTACTTCTATAACATTTTAACTCTTGATATTTATCAAAAATCCTAATTTATATTTGCTCAATAAGTCTAAGTTTTGCATTCATAAAAGGTATATTTTATATTGGCATAATACTCGTAAAGATAAGTGAGTGTTAAAATGAAAACAGGAGAGTGATGCAGAAGAGTGAATCCATTAGCTGCATATAATCGAGTGGATGAGATGAAGAGTGGTGGTCTTACCATTTAGAAAGGGGTTTTCACACAGGCCGATAAAGTCGATGATTGGGGCATCCATCTGCATTACATTAACTCGTTTTCCTCTCATTATCACCAGGTTTGTGATTGGCATATTTGGAGACTGAATTTCAGCATAGGAATTTCTGTCCTTGATTATTTTTTGGCCTCCGATGAAGATAATGAAAGGATCTCTGAGAGTGATAACAGACGGATTTTAGGAATAGAAACAAGAGATGAGATGCAAATGTGAAAAATGAAGGATAAATTATCATAAAAGATGGAGGACATTTTGGATATAACAGACCTACTGATTTCCCCCAGTCAAAATTTGACCTAATAATTGATAATTATTATTAACGAACTCAACATCATTACCATACCCAGAGGCTATTATTTTAATCGATATAAGTTTGTTATGTATGTCCACAAATGAAGCATATATGGACTAGTGTGTATTTGACTAGTTCGCCTTAAATTAAGGAGTCTATGAGTTCAACTTCTAAAGTGATGATGACCAGACATAAGCGAAAAAGAAACTGCAATACGCATTGAATGAGAATGCACTTTTAAGATAAACGGATAGATTAACTGTAAACAACAGTCATACCATTCAATTGCTTATTCGAAGGTAAAGCAATCGTGAACCTGTGCTTATTTACTTATGTAGCCTTTTCGATATGGGATAGAATTCTTGGCTTTGAACTAAAGTTAAGATGGTTTTTGTTCAAAAAGAATGAGGGACAGCGGCGTGCTGAGCGGGATAATAAACCAAAAATAAATTTCCTAAGAAAATAAGGCCTACAAAGTTAAGAACGAAAAAACAACTATAAAATGATAATACAATTGAGGTGGATTGACCTGTTGTCGCAACTTGGTCTTGTTGTCAGGGCGACTTAGTAGAAGGCATCTTGTCCAAAGTCCTCTGCCATAGTGGTTATCATAATTCACAGCATCAAGTCCATGGTTTGATGCTGGGAATTGTGATAACTACTATGGCAGAGGACTTTGGACAAGATGCCTTCTACTAAGTCGTCCTGACAACAAGACCAAGTTGCGAAAACGAGGTCAGACCACTTTCATTTTAATAATGCTACTTTTACTCGAGTGTTTGTGTTTGTGTGCGTGTGTGTTAACGTTTATACGCAATACCGGTACTAAATCAGTGATCAAAAAAGGCTGTTAGGTTCTGATCATCAAGGCTCAATTCCCCAAGAAAAGATCAAGAGCGAGACTGCGTAAATCCGTAAGAAAGTCCAGGCTAGTCAATGTCTTTTTCTTGAGTCAATAAGTCTTGAGGACCATAACATAACCGCCTTTTTGATCACTCTGAGTTAGAATCTTAGACTTCTTAATATATCCATGAGTATCAGATATTTTACCTGATATAAAGAGACACAAATACTTGCGATTGTATCTTACTTAGCTCTCAATTTGGCGAACAATTATATGGCTACACTTGAGGAACACTATTTAAAGCAGGCAATAATCATCCCTAAATTGTTGGTTAAATAAATGGATGACTATTTTATCTGGCCTCATGGTAAGGAAAACTTACTGAAAGGAGCATTAAGTTCACGATGGAAATAAAAGAGGATATATCCTTACCCTTTTTGGATGTTCTGGTCATTATAGAAAAGGGTAAATTAGAAAGTAATGTTTAAGAAAAACAGCGAATGTTGGCCCTTTCCTGAATTTTCTTTCCAACCAAAGTTACATAACAAAAGTTAGAATTTTGAAATCAATGATTGTTAGAAGTATGAGCAATCATTTGATTAAAGAGTTAGAAAGGCTGAAAAGTTTATTCCTGAAAAATAATAATCAATTGGGCCTAATTGGTATGAATAGTTCAATGAGGAATAAATGTTCAGACGGAGACTATTTATTCAAAAATATACGAGACATTTTCTTAAATCCTGATTTTGCCGTAATACTTCTTTCCCCAAAAAATAGAACTAGTGAGAACGTGGTGAATAAAAACAGTGTTTGAAGAAATCATCACACTTTCTTCGAGTATGCCACCTTTTAGAGAGAAATATGACCCACTGTGACAGTGCAGCAAGTGAGCTTGACACGTTAACCACTCAGCCGCATAGCCACGAGTGCCCTTGGGTCACAGAGCAATGTGAAAT